AAAAGTGCTTCGACAATTGGTTCAAACGCATGCAAAAGTGTAGAGATCGTCATGGAATATTTTGGAAAACAATAAAGTGATTTTCGATTATTAATATTTTTTTTTGTTCTCCAATCCTGAAATATAAAAGGCAACCTCGTATGTATAGGTAGGCAACTTATTAGGTTTTTTTTGTTTTTTTTAGGAGACACCTGGATTGGTTCATGGGTGGGGTAATTTTTCCCTAGTTTTACTTTATGTCCTGAAAATGAATCGAGAATTGAAATGAGGGTTCTTTCAGTAAGCGTTTCTTTTGCAGGAAGGAGTATTTTACAAAAATATACACATTTTAAATATTTAAATCAATTTTACAAAAATTCTTAGTTTGTATATTTCTTGTGCATTAAACATCTTTAAATGTTCCATAGGTATCCTCCAAAGAAGAAGTGAAGATGGAAGATGAATTGGATGAAGAACAAATTGATGAGTCAGTTTTTGATCACAGTTCCAATGAAGGCGAATAACCTACATGTCTTGTAGTCTAATGCAGCCATGGTTATACATGGTTAAAAATAATATTGTGCTATTTCTAAATGTTATTTAATACAGTTCAAATTAAATTGTTCAAGTTTGTTTCTTCTTTTACAACCCTGAAGTGTCCGTTTCTTTTGCAGCTTGTATTATATATTAATTGGATTGTTGGTGAAGTAGATACCTTTTTTTATTTTGATAAATAAATAGAGATATTGTCAGGTATCAATATTTTAATTCCACTAATGATCATTTCGATCGCTACGCGATCGCATTAGTGGAATTAAAATATTGATACCTGACAATATCTCTATTTATTTATTGTATTATATACTTAATTTGCCGTTTCTCATTTACTTTCTTTCACATTTCATAAGAAAGAGAAATGGCTTCTTTGCAGTTTATATGTAAATTTAAAAAAAAATTGTATTCAAGATTGTCAGAAAAAAAGAAATTTTTTTAGTATTTTGAGATTTTCACAAAAAAGTTAGCTTCTTGTGTGAAATACTAACGTTGATCTTTGACCATGAGGACTAACTAAATGAAAGAAAAATTGTCAGATTGTTTACTATGTGAAGCCAAACAACTACATAAAAACATGTTTCAGGGTCTCTTTTACAGTAAAATCTGTGTTAGCCAGAGTCGTTGGAACAAAAAAAATATTCTGATTTAGGGAGGTTTCCGTTTTATGCATTATTTTATGCCACATGTTATAAATATTTCCATCCTGAAACTAGTATAAAATATACTAACTTATAATGTATTTATGGAAGAAATCACCAATTAATTAATATTAACCATATTTCCTACAGTTAAAAGGAAATATTCACAACTTGTGCTGAATATTTTTTCCATCATTCATCTAGAGTTTTTTTGCTTTTTAATTTTCCACTTTCAGACGCCTTTACTAATATGTTTTCAAAAGTTGGAAAACTGTAATATTTAGAGGGTTTGTTTCCAATCATTCTTTAGGCTAAATGTCCCGACACTAGTACTGATTGCGCCAGAGAAACTTACTTATTTGAAAGGTCAATAAA